ACATATTGGATACTATTCAAAGGTTGCCATCAGGTAAATCTCCCTTGTGCTGATGGATTAACCAACCAGTACTATAAAAGGTTCTCGAGTATTTTGGCCCCACACCTCCTGAAGGTGTACAAACTTGCGAGTGGTTCGAGCTCCTTGCCCCCTGAGATGCTATTGGCCACCAAGCCAGATAAACCCACTGAGACTTGCAAAAAACTTCCGCCCCATATCACTCCTAAACACAGACACAAAAGTAAATGCCAACATTTTGGCAAAAAGGTTGACATCAATTCTCCCAACTCTGGCTGGGCTGCACTGATAAGATTTGATGGAAAAGTACAGGCTATTCATCCCATTGATTATTAATAAATTATAAAAGAGAAACCTTGGCACTCATTGGAGTACTACCCACCTGTAATACGGACACGTATTGCTGGTTTTGCTGATTCCTAGTAAGAGAGGGTCCCCTTCAAGTCTGACTGCCAGAAGTTCTCTCAGTTGAGTGCAGAAAGCCTCTCTTATGGTGATGTATACTTAAGCTGTTTCTTTAAGCTGAATATTAATCTGTTTCCTTAGGTCTCTGTTAATCAATAAAGTTTGTATTGATTATTTACAAGTACTTGATGTCAGTGTCTTTCCCTTTCTCGAATACTCAATTCACTCATCCCGAATAGGGTTTAGGTGCCCACCAATATCTTTAAAAACCTTAGGGTAATTGATTATTGCTTTTTTCATGAATTTAATGATTAGGCACAACACTATGGCAGAAGGGTCTAGTTAAGGCGGTCTTTTATAGGCTTTACACGCAGAAAAGCGTTTGACAGTTTTGGCTGGCCCTTTCTGAAACAGGTCCTGGATGCTTATGAGTTTCCGCCCATACTTGTTCAACATATCTTTGCCCTATACTCCAGATTCACGGAGCAGGTACTTGAAGCAGGATTTCTTTCAACCCCCTTCTCCCCCAAGTATGCTCCCTCTCCTCACTGCTAAGATTAGCGCATTTGCAGAGGATATCCTTCTATATGTAACGAATTCCCAAGACTCTCTTTCCGACATAATGAAATGAATCTATGACTATGGCAGAGTGTAATATTATTCACTTAATGCCTCTAAAATGCAAGCGATGAATGCAGGACTTCCTGGCCCACTTCTTGTCTCTCTCCAACACAACTATCAGTTTGAATGGAGAAATGACAATATCAAGTACTTGGGACTCACAGTTACCAAAAACTCAGCAGACCTTTATCCGACTAATTATATCAAGGTTTGAACTGAATGCCAACAGATATTACGTAAATGGAGACCCTTGTTTATTTCATGGACGGAATGGATAGTGCCATTCAAAATGTCCATTCTGCCGAAACCCCTTTATTTATTTCGTACCCTAGCGACTACATCCCCTCGCTTTATTTTAAAAGGATTCAGAAAGACATTAAAGCCCTTTTCTGGGTGGGAGACCTAGATTAGCTCAAAAACAGTTGAATGTGCCACGAACATTAGGGAGATTATCGCTTCCAGATGTAAGAACATACTACCACGTGACCATTATATACTGCTATTCTGCACTTTCTGACTACACCTTCCTTCCAGTGGGTGCATTTGAAAAGGTCGCTTATAATGCCACCGTAACTTTCTAACATTCTGTGGCTGCCCAAACAATTTCGTCCCTCTCTCCCATCTGCTCCCACATCCATCCAACTACTCTTCAACATTTGGGACAGATGTTATCATAAACTGAGCAGATGTTTATCCCTAGCGACTCCCATCATGTCATGTTCCTACTGTATACCTACCTATAATGCTAAACCCTGGCATGCTCAGGCAGCCACGCATCTGTTCCACTTGTTCAACCTCAATACCCTTTTAGAATATGAAACCTTAGAGTCCAAGTACAGTAGGGGAAAATAGAACACAGGTATCCACAGCCACTTTGACAATCTGGGAAGAGTTGTGCATAAATCGGTCCTTGCCTCCTACCTGTAAACTGATGTCTATGTGATACAGAATCCTCTCACAACATATTTCATTCCAAACTACTACAATAGCAAACCAATGGGAAACTGGTTTAGGCTGTAAGATCCCCAAACTATATAATCGATTTACCTAAAAGATGGATTAAATCCTACGCACACATCGAGCAGCATTATAAAACATTGTGCAGGTGGTATCTGGTGCCTACTAGGCTCCACAAAATGTACCCTACCACCTCTGCGCAATTTTGGCGTTGTGGACAGGTTGAGATGCCCAATTTGGTGGACGTGCCCAAGGCTTAGTAACTTCTGGGCTAGTATGCAAAAGCAAACTGGAAATTTGATAGAATTTAAGCTGCCATTCTCACCCCAATCTTATCACCTATTGGATTTACTGGCGATTATACTGTTGGATCAAATCAAGTGTTTGATAATTTTGTATATCTTCCCCTGTCCAAATTGTTAAATTAAATGTGTGCACGCTCCCAGAAGTAATTCACACACGACACAAGTTTCAGGTTAATGAAAAACTTGAGGAAAGTTTAATCCAGGGGGCCGGTATGCCCCTTATAAAGCAAGAATACATCATATGCATAATTATAGATAACAGAGAAAATACATCAATAATTGGTTAGGTGTTAAGTGGTTCATCTAATGTACATCCTACCGGGTATGATGTCACTGTCATCATGGGATTCTCCTCCACATTCCATTGCCATCGTGTTAATTGAGGTGGTTAGTCGATGGGAGGGATAACACCCTAGCAGCCATTTTAAGTAACTTATGAATAATACTGATTATAGTTATGCAGAGTAAATAGGCATTTTACTAAAGTTAATATTCTGTACACAACAGTCCCCCCTTAAAATTACTATTTACGATTAAAACTACTTACTATCCCTAATAGGCTGCCACACATCTGTCCCACAGACCTCTCGAACACTTCTGCTGCGCATAGGACCAGTAGTGGCTTGTCCACTACCTCTACCACAAAAGACTTTGCCCGTGTGGACAGATGCTGTCCCTAAATGTCCCTAGAGGGAAGTAGTTGCATCTTTGGTGTAGTGAGACTGCAGAGGTGTGTGAGGTGTATCATAGTGTTCGTCATCAATTTCTTGGTGAAGGAAGGTTGGGGTGGTCCGGTCAATCGTCTGATCAACTGTCTTCTGTAGGTATTTCTGAACACATGGCAACACGCAACAGACAATGAACACAAAGCGAAATATCACGGTTAAAACTGCCATACTCACTTGAACAAGCACTTTCTGCCAGCCGTTCAACTATCCAAACCATCTATCCCATGAATTAGTGACTCCTGAATCCCTCTTTTACTCTTCTGAGAGACTTTCAAGCTTCTCTATTGCCATGGTTACCTTCCCATTGGGGCCTGTGTTGTCTGGGATAAAAGTGCAGCATGTCATAGTGTCTGGGAGTATTTTACATATTCCTCCTTTTTCTGCTAGAATCATATCTAGGGCCATTCTATTCTGAAAGGTCATTTGAGAGGTGGCCTGTAATTTCTCTGCCAGGCCCTGGATTGCATCTCTGGTATAATTGACAAAACGTTGATGATTGTAATAGATATAATTAATCCAATTTACATACTTATTGGCAGTGATGAGCGGGATCAAGGATTCGAATCCTGCCGCTACTTCATCTCTTGCTTTAAATTCTTTTGGCACCCCCCTTGGCACTCCTATGGCATCTATGTATATGTGAGGGTCAAAACTGCCTTTTACAGAAGTGTCTCTTTTAACTCTAAAGTATGTGTGTGGTGAATCAAGAGGGCCTTGGTAATTGTCTGATATTATGTGTATGGGCATAATAACTTTAGCTAAGGCACACTCTCCCCACCACAGGCCTGTCAATCTGGATCTAAGTTGCATGTCTCCACATAGCCAATAAATGTCTCCCAGGGATCTAACTTGATTTATTAATAGAGCAACTGGAGGCTCTCAGTATGTAGCACAATACCCAGAAGAGAATTTTCCCACAAATGTACCCGTGTCACTGTGTATGGCGTAGCAAGTGTAATTACCTGGATACACTGTGACTCCATCAGATGGCTTGATATCCTTTTGGGTTAGTGGATATACCTTTTTCCATGACTCACATGCTGATGAATGGCTGTTTGACTGCACATAGAGACTTAAGAAACATGTTTCTAGGTCAGGAGGTAGGTTAAGGGGTACTGTACCCAGATGGGGTCTAGCTCTACCACAAACATAACAGTTGGTTTTATTATGAGTTAGCATTATAGCTCATCCATTCAAGCCATAAGTTAGTGTATGAAAAAACAGTCTCTACTGCCATAGTGTCTTCAAATGTAGGGTTAACTATAGCTACCATGTCCTTAAGAGTCTTGATGTGTGGTTTGAGAGGGTTAATAGTCATGTGTGTAGAATCTACCCATTCATGTGATTGGTACATGTCTTGTAGATAGAAAGTCCCCAATTTATTATATGAAACGCCCCTTTTCCAGTACATTCCCATCACGTACTCACCAGCATCTCCAGGACTAGGGTGTTCTATGTTTAAGGTAAGCTTCAGTGGAGTTGACCCTGTTGGTTTGCCTATAGTCATTCTGTGTAACAAAGATTTACCATTTCTGTCCACCCTATTTAAAGCACTCTGTGGTCTGTAGCCCCATGGTCGGCCCGTGTTCCAACCTGCCGCCTTCCAAGAACAACAGTGATGTCCCCAACGGTCACCAGTCACACAAATGTATGGGTCCTTTTTATTAGGTATGTCTTTGTATACTGTCGAGAGTAGTGATTGTGGAAAAGTACAAGAGACAATATCACAGTAATCAAATGTAAACGTGGCTACATGTGTGTTTGAAGAATTATACCAAAATATGTAAACATGATTCTCTTTGGTAAGTGCAACTTGTTGGGCCTCTAATAGGCCTAGCAGCAGAAAAAGGTACAGGAAGCTCATGGCTAAGTGAAGTTTGCTTCCTCTGGAGCTGGAACTTTCTTGCAGTGAGAGGCGTGTATCCAAGTGTTCTTCCCGGCCAGTTTTACTGAGGTAGACGTAGTTAGGAGGACCTGGAATGGACCATCAAACCTTTGCTTGAGAGTGTGTTTCCTCAGGAATTTCTTAACCAGAACCCAATCACCAGGAAGTAACTTGTGAGTGCCTGTGTCAGACTCTGGATCTGGAATGGAAGAAAACACTTGTGCATGGATTTTGGTCAAGGCTTGAGAAAGAGCAGTTACATAATCTACCATTGCATCTGACTGGTGTGTGAGCTGCTGAGGAAAGTAACAGCCTAGCCTGGGAGCTGAACCAAACAAAATCTCATATGGGGACAGGTTAAACCTCCCTCTTGGTGTATACCTCACGCTAAACAGAGCTATGGGGAGACTTTCTGGCCAGGACAGGTTAGTTTCTTGGGCTATCTTAAGCATTCTGGCTTTCAGAGTGCCATTCATGTGTTCTACCTTACCACTACTCTGTGGGTGATAGGGTGTGTGTAATGCAAGGGTCATCCCCAGTGCTGCCCAGATCTCTTTGGTCAGTAGTGGAGTGAAGGATGTACCTTGGTCACTTTCTATCACTTCAGGAACTCCATATCTGCAGACAACAGTCTGTTGCTCTTCATAATTCATTTTCTGCACTTTCAGAGTGTAATGGTGTTGTGGAGAGAGGCACTGAGGCTAGTGGTGTTGTGGAGAGAGGCACTGAGGCTAGTGGTGTTGTGGAGAGAGGCACTGAGGCACTGAGGCTGAGGCTAGCGGTGTTGTGGAGAGAGGCACTGAGGCTAGCGGTGTTGTGGAGAGAGGCACTGAGGCTAGTGGTGTTGTGGAGAGAGGCACTGAGGCTAGTGGTGTTGTGGAGAGAGGCACTGAGGCTAGTGGTGTTGTGGAGACCGGCTTGGAGACT